GAATTAATTTTTCTTTTATTTTATTTATTTTTTATTTATTTATTTTATAATGAATCAAAAGAACAAAGACTAAGAACAAAGAAACTATAGTAAACTAAATCAATATATTCTAAGAAGCTGATTGCGAAGTTAGCAGATATAGCTTGAATTGTTTGGAGAAGCGATAATGATATAATTTTTTTAGATGCAGTGGAATAGTCTCCTATATTTTTGATGCAATGAAAGTAAAAGTAGAAGCTCCATAATTATTATGTATTAGAGGCCTACGGAAGTTAAGGTTAGAAACAAATCTAGTGTAATGGCTATGGAGGTCAGAAGCCAGAGGTAGAATTCCAGAAAAAATTGCTGGGATGCCTGTTGGATTGTTAATAATTTTATGTGCAAAGGGTGCTACTTTTAGTTTGAAAATACTATCAATTGTCATGGGTGGTATTGTTGGGAGAAACTGGCTGCTAGTCATTCTTAGGTGGCTAAGGGTTACTGGGTTTATTGAGATAACCACTCCAAGATTCTTGGATTTTACCCCTGGGTGATAAAAGTATATTTGGTATTTTGAGGAAGCCTTTACATGCACTTGCTTGAAGGGCCTCCCTCATGAATCACATTTTATGGCACAATCAAAATTAATGGGGACTACATTGCTTTGTTCTCAACAAGAAAACCTTACAAGCTGAATAAGTTCAAAATTTATGAAGGCCATAAGGTAATGAAATTTATAATTAATACATAATAGTACAATAACATTTACATAATAGTACAATAACATTTGCATTATTATGGAATAAAATCCTGAAAAATTCCCTGTAGAGGATGGTCCAACTGAGAAAAAAAAGTTCCTTTAAAAATCCAACGGTCCAAGAGTCCATGGGTTCATGGGCCATTTTGACCAAAATGTCCCCTACCCCCTTGTCAGGACTCCTCCTCCCCATTCACGTGCCATAGTTCCTGCCCCATCTTTGACTCATTGCCTGAATAAAATCCCGTTCATTCACAGCCCATGCAGCAAACAAAACAGTGATTTTTACTTTCATGTTGTATGCCTTACGATGTGGAAAGTGTAGCCTAGAATCAGATTTAAAAGTCTTTTCCATCCCTTTAGGGAACATAAAAGGCTTGACAAAAAAAAGACATTGATAAAAATGAACACCTTTCTCTTTAATCTTGAATTTGTTATTTTAGGTCTGTGGCTATCATATCATTTGGATGTGATTTTAGTCCTGATGGAAAAATAATTTGTTCTGGCTCAGCAGATGGGAAAATGTTTTTCTATGATCACAGCACAGCTCGTGTGATGAGGACAATAGAGGCCCATTCTGCTCCCTGTGTGGATGTTGCCTATGACCCCACCCTACCCAGCTGGGTGGCAACCTGTGGGTGGGATGTTCAGGTTAAAGTTTGGACGTAATATTTGAGCAAAGCAATTTTCAAATTAGTTCCAAGATTAACCAAGGATTGTTTACAATTAGTTTTGAGTTCCTTTAATCTGGGATTGGTCTGGAAAACTCCATTCTTGACATCCTCACCACCAATCACATATGATTTAAAAGCATTTGTGACTCGCTCGATTGCATTTAGGGCCTCATCATTTGCATTTTCATTGTTTATCATTGTTAGTCAGAACAGTGTTTAAATGAGTACAGAAAGTAATCCGGGATGGTTTTGGTTTTGCGTCACTAAAGGGAGTGACTGATCAAAAATTTCCTGCCAGCCTCTCAATAAGAACTAATCAATGACATCAGTAAATGCTTCGTTAATTTGGATTTCGTCACTGTTCAGGCAATTTTCTTGTTTTCAATTTGAATTTTCTTTGGTTCTTAGCTGAACTGTTGCGTGTTTGAAAAGGTTGTCGGTCGTCAAGTCAAATATGATCTTGTCCTTTTGTGCTTGATGAATGTTTGACCAAAAGGGGTTCCTTTTTATGGCTCTTACTTGGTTATGTTTAGCCATGTGACAAACTATGTTTTCTCTATGTAAATAAATTCCTCATGGGCCTCGCAAAAACAAAATGACTTATTGAAAAATAGCTATTACTTGAATCGCCCTTTCGTGACGATTCTCCGTGTCTTAACAGACGGTAAACACATTCAGCCGTTCGCGAAATTCTTTTCTAGACGGGAAAAAGTCATGGAGACCTTAACTCTGACAAAGTATCAACAAGACATTATCAGTTGATAATCTTTTGGTAGCTGATTAATTATTGGGGTGAGCTTGCTTCTTTACCAACACTAACGTCTTATCATTTAAACAAAGTTAAGTCGTGGTAGAACAGAACCGCTTCCTAAACAATGACGAAAGGGCTAACGCTCGACACGTCAGTTTTTTTAACTATTTACGGTGGCCAGTTTACAATTTCAACTTAGTCGATAAACCAAATCCTCAATTTAGCTAAACGCTTGAGCTAAACATTTGTTTTTGTGAACAGCAAAACAGTGAAAAAACGTTTCTTTGACTAAATCAACACTCTTGTAGAAGGCGCCACACCTTAACTTCAGCATAACGATACCTGGGGCGGATCCAGGATTTAGTCAAGAAGGGTTCGGAGAATTGTCCGAGGGTATGCTTCTCCGAAAGATTTTGAAAGTTAGGTCTTCGGAAACATGATTCCAGCATTTTGAGGGAAAATTTAGGGGCTTCGATGGAACCACCCGAACCACCCCTGGATCTGCCTCAGTGATACTAAGGGTCGGGTCATGCTAGAGCTAGACTACGAGCTGTTTATGTTTTGTGGCGAAAATTCCCCGCTACTTTTCGAGTGCCTGACTCATGGAGCTCCCGTGGCGCGTAAAAGTGGAGCTCCCGGGGCAGGTAAGTAGAAATTAGAGCCGAGCTCGAAAATTAGCGGGAGATTTCACCGAAATGGAGAGACTGCTCGTAGTCTACAGTACTTGCAACGGAAGGAAAATTTAAACTGGTTGAAGTGATCTTTTAGAACTCCAAATTACTGCTACTTATAACATGATAGTTAAACGCAGAGCCTTTCCGGCAAATTTGAAATGTGTGTTTTTAAAACCATTTAGTTGTTATATTATGCAAGATTTGTCTGGATAAAATTTAATTGGGAAGGAATACTGTAGTCCGCTAGTCTAGTTTGGCTTGCAATGGTAGGATTTTCCTCGTTCATCTGACCCTTTTTCTTTAGAGGGAAACGAATTTGAGTGCTGTTGTCATCTACCAAAGTTTATCTACAAAATAAGTGGCTATAGCACTATTGATTGCGTTCTTCGCAAAATAGTCCAATAAGGCAATGGCAACATTTAACACAAATAAAAAGAACACAGAAGAAAAAAATGGAAAAATATTGTTTACAAGAAGATGATGTTGGAAAAAAAAGTTTGCAGAGATGTATATGCTTTTTTGTGTTTGTTTGTTTGTTTCTTTTTCTTGTCCGTTTTTTTTTTCCTTGACCGAAAATGATCGAGAATAAATTTTGAGTGAGAGACACTGCAGTCCCAATTTAGAAAACATGTGAGAGCGAGAAACACAGAACTGAGCGAGGTCAGTCAAACATAAGTGCAGTAAGTGCAGTCATTTGTGTTTAACTCTACTATTCTATAAGGTTAGCGATGAATTAACGGCAAAGGAATATGGAACATTCAAGGTGGTTTGACCTTTCTAATTAATCAAAATACTGTCCGAAGGCTTACTTACTCAATTTATTCCGAGAGCGCGCGAAGAAATTTCAGGTTGCGTACTCTTGTATTCATAATTTAAAGGGGCTAGCTCGAAAGCCTCATGGTTCCCCTCACAAAGAAAGATATCCTGAAGAACACGATGAACGCCAAAATTAGGCAAGTCGACTCCTTTTTTAGAAAAAATTACTCTTTATTACATTAATTTTGTACAACAGAAAGGAAAACAGTTTAGGTTTCCTGATGATAAGTTAAACCTTCTGATTTCCAGTG